ATATTTATATATACGTATTCACTCTCTCTTAATTTTTCCGATATCATTTTTACTTGTTAAAGTTTTTTGTAAGTTTACTTTTGTTAAATTATATATATATTTATTCATCCAGCCCTTTGCGTCCACTGCTGGACATAGGCCTCCCTCATTTTTGTCCATTGTGCTCTGTTTTGGGCACTTTTTATCCAATTTCTCCAATCTCCAAGTAAAAATGATATCGGAAAAATTAAGAGAGAGTGAATACGTATATATAAATATATATATATATATATATATATATATATATATATATATATATATATATATATATATTTATATATATTTATATATACGTATTCACTCTCTCTTAATTTTTCCGATATCATTTTTACTTGTTAAAGTTTTTTGTAAGTTTACTTTTGTTAAATTATTGTTGTAGAAGTTAACAGTAAGTCTATTTAAGTTAGTTTACACACAAAATTGCCTTCCGAAATAATTGTAAGAGTTGTTTTTTACTTTAGTAGGAATATAAGTTTTTCAGTTTCTTATTTGGCTATCGTAAAAAAGTTTTATTTTTATATAAAATAAATAAAACATTTTGATAATAATAATTAAATTTAATTAATATATTGTCGATTGTAATTAATTCAAATTAACTTGTTTACTAACTTTGAAATAATATAAACACGTCTCTGTTCTAACCACTTGTGCCAGTCCGTAACTGATCTAGTCTGTTTTCAATATGACGTCTGGATACTTTTATACTTCAAAGGCGCCGACTAAGAGTGTCCTAACTGTTTGTGGTTAAACTGTGATATTATCCAGAGATTTCAAAACAAAGTACTGAGAAACATTGTTGATGCTCCTTGGTATATCCGTAACAGCAACCTCCTCCAGGACCTGCTGCATAGTCATGTGAATGTAGAGACAATCCAGATATCAGCACATGTGTGTGTACCTAAAATAAGGGTTTGCGTTCCATACAAAACCAGAGTCGAAATGCATCTCTCAACCGATGCACATGTGTATGTTGAAGACGAAGAGTACCTGATTCCGCATCAGCCAAGAAAGACGCTAATGTGCATCATAAACTTTGGTAGTTGAACTGTCGCTGAAGACATAATTTGCGATAGCGTTGGGGCTATCTTTTTCATGGGGTAAGGAACAATACACCATATTAATTTGTTGCTGCATATATCAAGTACGTGCACTTGGTATATTTATTTGATATTTGGAAATTCATCGCATTTGTGCCGCGATCGCGATTGAACATTGTCAATTGGACATTTTGCATTTGTTTCGGTTTATTTACTGTATTGTATATTTTTTTGTATTTTGTTAACACCGATTTTATTTCTTGTATGTTTTGTTTTAATAATTGTACTTATTAATTATTATTCGTATGCACCGCATTTTTAATTTGTTTTTACAACGTTAAAATATTATATCCTTATTTAGGTTGATTTTTGTAATATTATTAATTTGGCTTTTATCTTTTTATGTATAGTATGTTTGTGGCTATGGTAGGTTTTGTCTTTTGTTTTGTCAGTGGTTTTTAATAGAATCGACATCTTTTTGTTTTGGTTTGTTTATGGTTGTCTTTTGGTGTGTTTCATAGTAGCTAATAGTTAAGTTTGTAATATATTCTTCTTTTAAGTAATATCTTCTTTAATTATAATGGTATATTTGGTTGTGTATATTTATGTTTAATTTTACAGCTTTTTAAAATATAGTTTTATACAGTCCGCTACTTTTCATTTCTCTTCTTTTATTTAAATATACATACCCATTTCGAAAGGGTGAAACCAGCGAGTTCTAGATTGAACAGACGATCTTCTCTCCTCCTTCAGGATGACCCCAATTGATATATTGAGGTCATCGTATGTGCAGAACGCAACATAGTGCTGTGAGGTTATTTCATGTTAGTTGTAGTGCATTAGTTGATAGATAAAATAAGAGTAAGCCATAGGGTAAGCCCTTAGATTTAGGTATTTGCTGTTTATTAAGTTAGGCCAGAAAATAATTGATAATTGGTCATTTTTGTATAACATCGCACCGGTGTTATACAAAAAAAATACTATTACTATTATTATCTATAAACGATAAACAAAGGAATTTACGACTAATTTAAACGTATTAATGGAATCGGCAATCAGTGAAATCAAAAAAGCAAAACACAAATATAATTGTCCCTAGGTCATGTTCTATATTATTGTATTTCGGACAACCTGTATGATGACGAGTGAACACGTTTTAAACGGTTTGATTATACTCAAACCAGGTTTTTATTTCCAACTGTGAAATTTTCATTAGCCACATACAGTACATTACGTTGTTTATGTATTAACTTCGTATCTGCTAACCGAGTAAAATTTGAAAGTGAGAATCTACAGGGTTGGTCTTAGTCAACATGTTTAAAACTTTATTGAAAGAGAGAGAACTGAATGATTCCTTTTGCAAACTAAAAATAGGAACAATGTACAAGTATCCAAGTATCTAAGAAAGTTTTTAATTAAATTTAACTCATAAGCAAAATAATTCAACATAAGAAAGCTTTGAGCAAGATATTTTTGTCATATTGTTTTACCAATAAAAAATATAAATCAACTTTTTTAGTTATAAACTTTGAAAAATTAAAGGCAAATATCGAGCACAATTTTAATAATCAAATCTTGCCCAAGTACTTTCGCTTTCTACAGCATCATCAGAGGCAATTCGTCAAATTTGGGCTATCCAGCAAGCGCCGAATGTAATAAACATGAAATTGGACATAAATTGTACATAACACTACACTAAAACAAGACAAACAGTTTAAAATTATTCTACGCTCTACATTCTTGTCGGCAACAGGAGAGAGAATGATGATCATTCATTGATGATCATTGATGATGATGATGATGATGATCATTTTCGGCAAAACACAAAACTGCATACGAAAGCTGCAGTCTTTGCTTTTAAAACGCATCTTGATTTTTGTCGATAGGACATTTAGATCAAAAGATATCAAATTTTTACCGTCATGCTGGGTATACAGATTCTTGGTAAATCGATTTTTTTGCGTTTTTACCACCCCTGCGAGTGGGTTTTAGGGGGAATCCCGGGGATAAAAGTGGTAAACATTTTTATCATTCTCTTCTTATTATTTTAAATTCTTGCTCCATTGGTTTATTTTCAGAAAACATATTTTGTCATAATTACTGAAATGCAACACTGAGATTAAACACTCTGTACAATGAATCATTCTTTAATTAAATCAAATAAAATATGTGAGAGTCGGTATGTATATACGTCAGGATCTAAAAATACCAAAAAGTTATCTTGCCAGAATTTTGTGTTGTGTTTATGTTTATTGGAAATTATGAAAGTTATTAATTCCACAGATTTGATTATATTTTGAGTTATGTAACATAATAATTATAGATATCTCATATTATGTATTATTAAATATTTAATTAGCGAACATTATATGTAGTTAAATATTAGAGATAAAGTAATAAATAATTATAAGATTTTATATTAGGTGTAACAATCTTGTTAAACTTTGATTGATACGAGTACACAAAATATGGTAGTTTTATGGTAGTTTTATCACAGGGCACGTATTTTTATATGAAGAATTAAACCTGTACTTAAATGTCTATTTTCAATAATTTCCTCGATTATGTTTTTTTAAAGTAGTCTATTGCCGTTTGATACACTGGTTATTAATAATTATATTCTGTTGCTGTATTTTGTACCTTTTCGCAATCCATGATTTCAATCGTTTTTAAATCTTCTAAAACCTTTTCATACCAATCTTAGCCGGCTTTATTTTTTTTTATGGGAACGTCTATAAAAAAATTGTAAGTCAATTTTAGATATGCTTTTTTCCATCCTCTGCAGCGACCCAACCATCAAAGTCTTTTTTCTTTTACACACCATTTCTGTATAACCTCATCTACGGAACTGTACTATTATTGTAATATACACAAATTTACGAATTGTCGAATTTTAACCCTTTCATTACTAATTTCATTGTAGCTAAATAAAACTGTTGAATGACTTTAATAATATTCGTTGATATAGCTTGATTTTGACAAGAGCTATTACCTTGTAAATAAGAGGTAAACTTGTGTACTAAATCGGCATGACTCATAGCTCTTGTCAAAATCCATTACCTTTACCTAGAGACCTGACAAAGCGATTGATTTTTTTACATTGTTGCATGCCCTTGTATCCTTACAAAGGACATGGGACATATATGTCCCATTAGTTGAATGGTGGGATAAATAAATCCCATCAGTAAAAAACAAACTTAGAGTCAAAATAAAAAAAGTACATTACACAAAAAAACATTACTTCTTATGAATGATGTGGTAAAAAACAATTTTTGCCTAGAGGCACATTGCACACTACAAATGGCCGTAGTGCGAGTTTCTGATTTATTTTGTAAACATCTAAAGCAACTTCTCCTAGTAGGTATTTGTTGTGGCAAATGGTCTTCAACGTTGATCATCTGTTTCTGTCGTATAGATATTCGTATAGATTTTCTAATTTAATTAGCTATTCTGCTAGTGGCACCAAAAAATTCAAAAGTGAAAATTTTGGATTATCTTGTTTTACACTTCTTTTATGCGAATCCTTCTCTCATAAAATTATTGTAAAAAATAATTGCTTCTAGACAAGTTAACTCGGCTTTTTATTTAGTTTTCAGCTTTTTGTTGATAATTCCAACAGTTGTACTGTGACAATTGGACATCAGCATCACTTCTTTCGTATCTTTTTATTTAGTCGCTAAAATTCCTTCGAATGAAATTAAAAACCCCATATCACTCCTTAACATTTTGTTATTTTCAATTTGGCTACGTTTACCTGATTGGCCATATAGGTTCCTAAACATGAAAAATTTAGCGTGTTTAGTAGGTTGAACAAAGTGAAAAATCTATCAAAGCATAGACACATATCTCGTGACTGTATGGCGTTGGCTAGATGTTCAACAACTCGTTCTTCTAGAATTCCAATTCTTCTTCTTCTTGATGTGCCTATCCGTTACGAATGTTGGCGATCATCATGGCAATCTTTATCTTATCTGCAGCAGCGCGGGAAAGCTTCACAGATGTTGTATTGAACCAGACTCTGAGGTTCTTTAACCAAGATGTTCTTCTTCTTCCTGAAACTCGTTTTCCAAATATTTTTCCTTGCAGGATGAATTGAAGAAGAGCATATCTGGATTCATTTCGCATAATATGTCCGAAGAACTGTAACTTTCGAGATTTGATGGTGGTCAGTACCTCTCGGTTTTTATTCATTCTTCTGAGGACCTCCTCATTTGTGACTCGGTCAGTCCACGGGATCTTAAGCATTCTCCGATATAGCCACATCTCAGATGCTTCCAGTTTTCTGCACATATCTTCGTTCAATGACCACGATTCAACACCATAAAAAAGGACAGAGAAGAAGTAGCATCGCAGCATTCTTACTTTTGTATCAAGAGAGAGGTTGTGACTCTTTGAAGAAGGCCCCAATCCGATTGAAGGTGGATCTAGCTTTTCCGATGCAAAAAAGCTAGAGTTCCAATAGTTGCAGTTGAATTCTTTCCCGAGTAAATATTGAAATCTTATGTATATCCTGTGAAAGAATCTTTTTGTTGCCACATTGATATACCTTTTTTTTACTGGCTCCATAGGAAAATACTGCTTCGAGGCAGATCTTCCTTTGAACTTAGTCATTGGTTCGTCGATGGAACTCTGTTCTCGCCTTTATAAACGTTTGTTTCAAACAAGAAACCACTTCATCGATGTAGAATGTTTTTGATGTGTTACCATTTCATTCAGAATTATTATAGTAGGACTTGGATAGCAGAAAGAAACATAGATCTTTTGGAATAGCAGAGGGAATTCGAAAGTAATTCGTTTTGTGACGTCAGTAGTGTGAGGAGATAGATGGTACTTTATTGTAACACATAACCATAGTACAAACAATCACTGACATAATTTCGTACATATCTGTTTTTTTCGTGATTAATTTTATATTCCCGTTTTTTTGGAAGTGCTGCTATTCTTTGGTTTGTGCAGGAAGTAATATGCGTAAATACACTCATGGACAGAAATATCGAATATTTTCGAATTTCCAAATGTTTGTTTTTTGACAAATGAATTCTAGTCAATCAAATCGTTTATTGCGAAGAAGAATTTATTTTAACAATATTTAATCAACATTTGTAAGTATTTATGAGGAGAAAATTGCAAAAAAAGTACTACTTAATGTTAGGTAAATAAGATTATTTTACTCTAAACTTAAATGGTCATTTAAATTTCTTAATCACCTTAATTTCTTAATGATCTTGCAGGAGGTCAGTCACCAGTCATCCTTCCAATCACTTCCACAAGTGCGGTGCGTCCCTCCCAACTAACACCTTCCCAAAGCAATATGCCACCACCTCCAAAACTAATGGTCTGAGCGAGGTTGCAGGTGGCAAATCGTTCTCTAACTCTTCTGTAGACGTGGTTTTGACCTTCTGGTTTCCATTATAGAATTCTGGTGTCATTAGTGTAAAGAAGATTTTTCCAGTTATCGATATTCCACTGAATATGTGTTCTTGCAAATTCTAAATGGCGAGCTTTATGATTTTGGAGAAGACGTGGAACTTTGGCAGTGCGTCTAGGCTTTTAGTTTGCATCTTTTAGTATTCGTCTAATTGTTTCTTAACTCACATTATATATATATATATATATATATATATATATATATATATATATATATATATATATATATATATCCGGTTTTTTAGGCATTACGCCCGTCCGGTAGGGATCTATGGAGGAGTATCACCGAGCCGCAAGCCCTTATCTTTTGCCGTACTGCTCCACCATAGGCCGATCAGATCCCAGCATATCCTAGTCTAAGCCGCAGATTCATCTAGAATTTTAAACTGCTGCGTTAGACTTTTTGTTTTCTGTACACCGAGCTGGGGCTCGATCCCACATCCACTGAACCATTCGACAGTGAAGCGAATGAGAGGCAGCCGCACAGCCCGCTGAACTATCTGACCGACCTTAACTCACATTAACTTGTCTAAAACTTAGTAGCCCATTTCTGAGGTGTATCGATGTCAATAAGCAGTTTCGTGTAGAATTAAGAATCAAAAAAACAGTCATCAATTGTAGTTGTGCGCCTTGGGCGTCCTTGACTAAGACCTCGTACAAAATTTCCTGTTTCGTGGTATCTTTTTAAAATATTCAAAACTGTAGATTGACTTCTCCTAAGAGAAGCGATATCATTTTGTATATATCCTTCCTAGTACAAAATTACAATCTGCGCTGCTTGGGCTTCATCGCAGAGTAAAATTGGTGGTATATTTGTTTTAAACTTACTTAAATCAAAACAATATTTAATTAAACTTAATACATTAAACTAAAAGTAACCGAATTAGTATAATTTTTCCCTTACGCGAAAAACCTTTTTTTATAATTAAATGTGCGAATGACACTAAACGCTGAATAAACGTCAAAATATTCTAAACCAGTTGAGTACATCATATGAGTAACATCAGTCATCTAAATTTTTTTGAAATAATAGTGATTACAAAAAATACTGGAAAATTCTAAAATATTTGATATTTTTGTTCATGAGTGTAAATTACGCGAAAATAATTTTAGCAATATATCAACAGGACGAGAACCTTTATCAATATTTAGTATTGTTATCCCATTTCTCTGGGTAGGAACTTCTTTTTTCGGACAAAAGTTTGTATTTAGTATATTCCATTGTGCAGTCAGTTCATTCCTTTCACACATCTTCAGATATTCCCGCCTTATCAGAACTTTCTACGTCGAAAGCAGTGACGTTTACATCCACGCGGTCAGGAGTATTTACATGTACTTTATGAGAATCTGAGGCAGAATCGTCACCAGGTACATAATCAGACTCTAAGGCAGCTTAAGGTTCTTCCTCGGATTAATTTTCAGGAATATTTTAGAGGTTTTCAAGTTCTTTTTGAAGTTATTTTTGTGTTAGAAAACGTCTAAGTTCCATAGTAAGTCTACAACCAAACAATACGAATGGGATAAATACGACCCACTGGGACTTCTAAACGGGACTCTACTGTCCCGTTTAGAAATTATGGTAAAATCGATGAAAACAATGTCAAAAATAAACAATATATCACTAACATGTGTTAATCAGCAACTAAATTATTATATAATCGGTTAAAAAGAGAGCAGCCACTTTTTCTTTACTCAAATTTTATTATTCACGAGTTTTTGATTAGTTGAATTTTTGATTGAGTTTTTGATTTGAGTGTTTAGTTAACATAAATTTATAGGTTACAGACGTGATATGTAGGTTGCCTACTACTAAGTAATGAGTAAGAAATGTCTAAAAATGCGGATGCGATCAAATAACATGGGCTTTGGGACAAACAGATGACAGAAGATTTTTTGTGACATATATGTCCCCACATGAATGAAAGTGTTAAGGCATTTTTTAAGTCGTATGTATTCGACGAACTCATTCTTTTGCTTTACAGAGCTGCTGATACAAAACTTCAAAAATTGTTATATTTTTAAGTCCTCTATGTTCGATAGACTAACTAACTTGTTTTTGTTACGCTCTAGACTAGTCTAGAGTATCAACAGGGTCACGCTTAGACCTGTTTAGATCGGACTTTACCGTACTCGGACTACGTATTGTTTCATATGACATCAGCAAATATTTTACAACCTTGTAACGACTATTTTGCTTACCACAGGGTAAGAATATGGGGGACAAGATTGGGCAAACAAAATAATCGGAACAAGTGCGTACGACACTCAGTTGGTTGTTGGAGAGCTGGGTCGTGGATAAGTTGAAGATATTGGGGGTTAGATTGGGGCAACTACAAAAAAAAGAAATAAAGGGGTACTTATACAAATCTCTTGGGACAAACAGAATGAAAATTAACGGAAACACCTCAAGAAATTTAATATAGGGCGCCACTTGAGGTGCCCAATTATACCTATTACAATTACTAGTTGTAACTAGGGAAATAATTGTATAACATTAAAAATATAGAAAAAAAATATCTTTTTCAAATAAAACTCAAAATAGATCAGAGAAACAAATTAAACATTTATTTTTGTCTCACCAAACAGTTTTCAAAAATACAGCTTATACAAAGGCATATTAAATAAAATTAGCTGTCAAATACAAATGAAAAAAAACTTACATATCTGTTTACAAAAGGTTACAAAACTCTTCGAAACGGTTCTTAGTAAATAATTTAAAAAATAATTTATAAAAGAAAGCAAATTTTGTCTTTTTAAAAGAAAATGTCTATTTTTACTTTAAAAATTAATAACGTAAATGTTACCTCAGTTCACACATCTTAACTTAAGCTTTTGAATAACTGGCTAACTTCTGCGGGGTATCTAACTGCACATCAACGGAAAGCTTTATTGGAAGCTGAAACTGGCACATCCAAATCAAAACTGCTCCAATATTATTCTACATGAGGTGAAAAGGGCATCTCGGGAAGGAACTGGATTTCTCAAAAAAACGAAAAACAAACAGGAACTAAACTTGTTCACTGCTCAAACATCATAAATCTTCAGCCAAAATAAAAACAGTGGTTACTGGTCACTCTTTCAGAAACGACATATTACTTAGAGTGAAAATTCCACCATTTTGGCGAATGAATGCCGGCTTACAACATCACAATTAAACGACTTTTTTCTTCGAGAAGTTCTTCATCACTTCCTCTCAAATCTTTTACTCCATTCCCACATGTCTGCCCCGCTTGGAACTTAAATCTCGACTCTTTATCACATGTCTGCCCCGCTTGGAATCTAAATCTCGACTCCTTTTCAAATCTTTGACTCAATTGTCACATGTCTGTCCCGTTTGGAACTCAAATGTCGACTCTTTTTTCAAATCTTTGACTCCATTCTCACATGTCTGCCCCGCTTGGAACTTAAATGTCGACTCCCTTGCTTCGTTACATTTTACCAGAATCTAGCCAAAAATTTCCCTTCCGTCTTGCAGCTAACCTGTCCCCACAAACTCAAGAACCGAAACAATATCCCCTCGCTCGTATCGACAAAAAAACCCAACTTTTAAATGTTCCTTTATTGCCTAAACAAACAAATATTCTTTTTTTTGACCCTCGACTAATAACGAAAAACAACTTTAATATTAGGGGAATTCATGGTTTATTGCGTTTTAACATAGAAAACAAATAAAACCTTTTTTTTATCAGGGGGCATCATAAATTTACATAATACAAATTAACAAAATACGTGCGTATTTTAAACTTGAGTTTTACCTGGCTTATAACAAAAGGTTCGATATTTGAATCTAAACACAGACAAAAAAACATCTATATTTACTTTTGAATCGGTAGAAATATACGCATTTAAAAATCTCGTCAAAAAAACTTGAAATATTATTTCGATTGTTTTCTTTGGTAAAAACAACAGGAGCGTAACACAGAAATCTTTTCTATACACTTTAAATAAAAAAACGCTACAATGCCCCTTCTTAAAAGAAAAAACTCGGATAATTCTTATCCAGTTTTTGATAAAGGCAAAACAACAAAAACCAAATCAGAAGATGACCTCTTAACTGAGTCGAAACTTCTTAATAATATCTTTTAGATGATGGCTAGCATGGGATTAAACAACAAAAACAAAGTTAGTTACAAAGAATGGGCTAGCGTGCCATCGATCGCCAGACTCTTTAAAGTCGAGTAGACTGAAATTTTTGACTCTACTTGAACTGTAGGTGACATGAGTTTCTATGCCTTGGGGGAAGCTAACCTTATGCCCTGCAGTGAACCTCGCTGACATTCACAGCAGTAACACAAGTGATTTGACGGGCAGGCATAGCCATGACACCTCGTTGCCTAAATCAGGTGCTATACACAAATCCAAAAAAAAATTTGCTCCACACTTAATATGTAGGCGTTACTATCTCCATTATACGCCTAGCGAGACAGGGAATTCGGCAACGGTTCCACAAAAAAAATTAGGATATAAACCCAAAATCTATTTACCTACATATGACAAAATGTGATTCTCTCATGTGTCTCTCAATCAAAATAGATTACCTGAACTAAAATTATCAAAAGTGAAACAATATTCCAAAGGGATGAAATCAAATCAACATACAAACTCGAAAATACAGACATGGGATAGGATGAACTAATTACTTAAAGATGACATATTCTCCTCATCTAATACAAAAGGCTTTAAATCTTTAATGTGCCATTTACCAAGATCCGAACCATTTAAATCTGACAAACGATAAACCAGTGGTGAAAATTTTTCCTTGATAGTTGCTTCAATATACTTCGGTGCTAGTTTGGACATAAACTTGTTGACAGCACAAGACAAAACCTTATTTCTTTTCCAAACTTTATCACCCACTTGAAATTGGACTTCTCTTCTACGTAAGTTGTAACTCCTAGCGTTACGTTCATATCCTTTTCGAAGATTAGCCTTAACCTTTTCAAAAACTTTATCTAAACCTTTGACTTCTGAAGCATACATGTTACGGTCACCTGGAATTATCTCGATATCTTGATTCTGTTGATCCTTATGATCAACACCATAATAGTTTCCACTT